CTTTATATACTATGAAACTTTTAGAATTTAACAGAAGTATTAACGAAGAACTGAGGGCAAATAAATTTAGATACATGAAAAGTTATAAAACTGGACGTAAGACTGTGAAGCTTGAATCTAAAGCTTCCCTTTTGTGTTTGATGAATATTGTAGAAAATACTAAAAAAGAAGTAATTATTAATATGTGAAAAATCTATACCTATTGGCCATAAGCAACTTAATTTCTTTATACTCCTTTCACATAAATTACTCCTGAAAACCAAATTCTTCTCTAGTGTATATATATTTGCACAAATTGTAGTACAAGAAAATAAATTTTGTTCATACTGTTCTACAACATTATGAATTAAATGCAGGGGTACTTTGAACAACTTTACATTTCCAAATAAATCAAATACAGCCAGGGGCATGATTTGGCAAAGAGAGCTAATTTTGCCAATTTTCTTTGCAACAAGTGACTGAAGTTCCGGGAAACAAAGATGTAGCAAACACTACACATCAAAGTTATCCCACCAGATCTCCAGCCAACATGGGCTTTATACCCCCAGCAGTAGGTGTGTCATGTTATAAAGGGCGGAGACAAGGGAGGGTCGACCCTTAACTCTTTCCGTACAGCACGTGATCTTCCGGTCGCCAGCCCTTATCTTTACTACACAAAGAATTCTCAGTTAAGTATCCACAAAAAAAAATATTTTATAATATGCAAGTGAATGAAAATGTTATAGACTTCTGACAGTTTAGAAACAAGGACACTGAGAATTTTAAGACTATTTCAGTCCTAGATATATAAACAAACTGATAACAGGAGTTATCAGTTAGCTACACAGATACATAGGCACACAGGCAGAGACCTGTACCAAGTAAGTACAAAATAGGCTATCAGTGAAAACATGCAGGCAAACAAATAGAACTGGGGTGGAGGGAAGCCACCAAATGGACGTACTTCATATATAACAACTCTACTGCTCTCTGAACATCTCAAGTTGAAAACTTCCCCGTTAATTACAATAACTTCTCTTTTCCTGTCAACACAAACAGGGGCAAAATGAATATAGTATCAGTATTCATCCTGGTTACAAGACAAATTGTTTATTACATCAGATGACACTGTGATAACCTGTTCACTAACACAGGTTTAATTACTTTGCTATGCTAAGTTGATGAATTTTGTCCCTTTTCTCATTTAGTTTTCCTCATCGTTATTAGATGTCCCATCACAAGTACATGTGGACGTGACTGTCATCTCTGATGAATACCACTACCTTCAACTCTCTTCAGAAAATTACGTAAGCAAATAATTAGAAAAAAAAATAAAGAAACAGTTGTCTGTCTTTCAGCTATTCCCTGCCCTGATTTTAACTGGTGTGAAAAAAATAGTAACTGAAATCTAAGATGTGCATATGAATTGTGAATAAACAATTCAGAAGCTTAACCTCTGCAGCTTTAAATAACAATTTAAATAACCCTGTTATTGTCAAAATGTACTATTATTATTCAGATGCGCATTAGAAAGCATTAAGTTGACTTTGTATTCAAGAAATTCATTACTGTGTAACATAGGAACCTGGTAACTTTTTCACTGAGACTGGAGTCTTCACCAAGAAAGGTACCAGCACAAAAGTTCTCCTCTCCTGTGAGAGGAGGCAGTGAACACTGGGGAAGAAGCTTCTGATGAGCCGAAGCACAGTAGCAAGTTACATGAGATTTTTCACCATCAGCCTACTCGTGTTATGCATATCTCAGTCCACCGTTGAATAAATTCACAAGTGTGATTTACTTCTGTCCTTGCCAGTCTGAAAAGGACAAATAACTCACGTATTCTAATTCAACCCTCACGGTTTAATCCACAAAATGGAGAAAGGTATAAAAAACTCTGAATTTCTTAAGTGCTATTAACACTTTATTACCTCAAAAAACGACGCTAACAACAGAACATTTTGTTTGATAAAAGAGACTATCACAAATTTTAATGTAAAACATACTAATAAATTCCAGTTGGTCTGTTCTACTACCAGAAAGTAGGTCCACTTCAACAATATAAATCCATGGCCTCAGTTTGGGGGCAAAAATACTTTACAGTTTCTTATACAGCTACATGCTAGGAGCTCTGGGGAGTCACTGCTAGTAAGAACAAGTATGTTATCCAATTCATAGTCAGGGACTGACAACAGAGAAGAACAGATCTTCTGTTATGCCAACGAAAGGCAAGACCTCCTGTTTGCATGCTACACTAACACGAAAATCACATTTTGGGTGTGTCAGAACACGTAACGTTTTAATGGGAGATCACATACATGAAATACAGGACTCATACCACATAAGTGAAATGTTAGCGCACACATAACCTGAATGCTATAGAAGCAGGCAATAGAGAAATGCCTCAAAAATATAAGTGTACTGTTCCCAGTTCATCTGGAAACTGCATATGTATTTGCCATCTCAAAGATAGTATCACAGGCATGTGAACTCACTTGCTTTCAGGTGGAAGCCAAAGAAGTTTGAAGTGATACACTGAGATATACAACAGTCCTCCTGAATATATCCAACGTAATTTTCTCTCTCATGGATATCTGGAGAGAAATGGAACTGCTGTCTGGACAACACTGACTGAATATTTTTCCATTCTAGCCTGCTCTGATAAACAAAGGCTACCTTCAACTGAGGTAGGAATGAACTTCCACAATCAGTAGCTCAGGTCACTCTGAAATATCCACTCAAAGCAAACCTCTTGCAGAATAGTACCCTTGAATAAAATTTTCTACCACTTCTGGCAGACTATGAAATTAGAATTATAGATTAATACAGATTGAAAAGCTCTTAGGAGATCATTCATTGAGTTTAAGCCATGTATGATTAGCTAGGGTTCTCTGCTCGAGTTTTGAATATCTTCAAAGATGGAGATTACACAACCTCTCTGGATAATCAGTTCCAATGTCTGACCACCCTCAATGTAAAAATATTTTTCCTAGTATTTAACTGGATTTCCCTCATTGCAACTTGTCTCTGATGCCGCTTGTCCTTTCGTTGTGCACCTACCAGAAGAGTCTGGCTTCTTCTTTGTAACTACCCATCAGACAGTTTAGGATAGCAATACAATCTTCCCTTGGCCTTCTCCAGGCTAAACAAATCCAGCTCTGTCAGCCTCTCCTTGTATGTAATGTTGTAGCATCCCAATGGCCTTTCTCTGGACTCACTCCATTATATCAATGTATTTCTTGTACTGGGGAGCCAGCATTTCAGGTGCAGTCTCACAATTTTCAAATAGAGGGGAATAATCACTTCCCTCAACCTGCTCTCTATGTCCTTGCTATTACAGCCTAATATGTAGTTGGTCTTCTTTATTGAGAGGATACACTGCTTTCACATGTTCAGCTTGGCTACAGGGACATCCTTTTCTGCAAAGTTTCAGGTCTCCAGACTACACTGTTGTAGTTTGATCCCTGTAGATAACAAACTCGTCTTCCTTGCATATGTTTTTAAGAGTATCTGGGCTACAACAATACCTCATACCTGAGCACTTCACACTGTCATACATCTTCACAGCAAACCAGGCTAGTTCTGTTTATTGTTCTACTCTAGCATAAAATGGAAGCACAAAAGGCCAACTGAACCTTTTAATTAGCCAAGGAAGAACCTGGATTTTCAATCAAGGTCAAGACAGTGCTGGCAGAAAGCAAGGTTACTGTGTATCACCTCATAATCCTGGATTCTGTTCAGGCTGGTAGGAAGCTAGGGGAGGATTGCTATGGGTCAACTCTCAAATGCTGTAAGGTTATACCAACCTGAGAAACCTTGTCCCATCACCTTACAGCCAGGAGACAAAAATAAGCATTTGGGGCTTTTTTTGAACATGATATCATTTACTTCCTCTTTTCATTCTTCTGGTCCTTTGATATGTGATGTACAGAAAGTAATATTTCTCACTCTTCATTTGCCTCCAGAAAAATAATTTTCTTTCATTCTAGTAAGTGTCTGACCACTAAATTGAGGTCACATTATTCTGCAGAGGAAAGGGTTGGAAGTAGTACTTCATTATGAGCAGACACTAAATCTCTGTTTTATTTGCTTTGCACTGCTTACCTCGACATAAATATCATTGTATCTGTAGGCAGAAGTTGGAATGATATATAATATAATGGAAATTTTTTTTTAGAAAATAAATATAAGCCACAAAGTATTTAATACTGTAATCTCCTGATGTAGCTAAACAGGAGTAGAATGATCATACCAGCCTATCATCAAAACTGAATGCCTAATTCTCTACTCCTTTACAGCCCATACATCTGTGTGTTCCCATACATCTGTAAACAATGGGAGTGAAACACTACCATTTTAGTAGGATATGTTTCCTATTCTTTGCAAAGACAGAAATCTGTCAAATGTCCCAAGAAGAGTTTTCTGAGATCTTGATCTCTATTCATTCCAGCCATTACTCTTGAAACTGATTTTTAGTGCTAAAACACATTTTTTGTGACCATAATTGAGCCTACATGAAGACTTAGTAAAATGATCCTAAGACAGCATTGGGGAATAATCACAAGAATAAGTTATGGAACACACCAACTATTGAAAGACAACAGAATGGTCACATGGTGCCAACACCTACTTCTTGCCTCCTCTTCTACTAATGCATTCAAAGAGGAAAAACACATCACTCTTTCTTAATTTCCTTCTTATACATAACTGTATAAGTTAATGTAAGTTCTGCATTAACTATGATATGTTGCAGAATCACAAATAGGACAGCAGACAATCCTTGCATTGAATACTCTGAAATGTAGTACAGACTGGTGATACATACACAAGGATTCAAGAAGACAGACCTCCAGGAGAAAATTCAACAGTCTGCACATATAAAATCATAGAATATCCTGAGGTAGAAGGGACCCACAAGGATCATTGAGTCCAACTCCTGAATCCACACAGGGCAACCTAAAAGTTAAACCATGTATCTAAGAGCATTGTCCGACCACTTCTTTAATACCAACAGGCTTGGGGCCATGACCACTGCCCCGGTGAGCTTGTTCCAGTGCTTGACCACCCTTTCAGTGAAGAACTTTTTCCTAATAGCCAATCTGAACTTCCCCTGATGCAAGCTTTAAGCAATTCCCTTGCACATCACTTTTATGAATGGACACACTACATCCATTTTATATATTATGAAGCACCTACTTAATGCCAGTTGTTTCTGTTTCAGTATCTGCTTTAGCTAACAGGGTTCTACAGATAATCACACTTCAAGGAAGTTAAATACTAATAATCTTTATGGTTTTCTTGTTACTTTCACCTTGTATTAACTTGCTTATCTATTTCAGAACACTAAATATATATTTCTATTCCAACGGCAAGAAAAGTTAATGAGATCACAGCAGTGGTTAAGGTGCTCATTTCTATGGTGTTGATTTAATAAAAGAATCCATTTTAAGAACTGCAGCACTGAAAAGATAATGCAAAACATTTATTTGTGCAGACACTGCGGTACTGCCAGCCTGGCTCAGACAGTTGCCTGTATGGAGGGAGGTATAGACTTAGGAACCCTATTTACAGCCTCATTAGAATAACAGCAGAACAAGACCAAGTGAAATGGAGCAATATGGAAAGGGATAACAGGGCAGCATCTGAGATGTGATACTCCAGACTGCTGAATCAGGAAAGCCTTCCGAGTCGTAACCCACACAGATCTCTGTGGGTCAGCAGGCGTCATGGGAAATAACAAAAGTAGAAGTCACAATTGATAGCTCTTGGGACATGGCATGTTAAGAAGTTACACAGTTAGATAAATCTCCCCTAAAGTCACACCTACCTGTGAGACTGAGGAAGTGGAACTGGAAATAGTGCCTTCTGTCAGTTCTTAGTCTGTACATATTTGTAGGTGCATCAGTCTGAAATCTATTCCCACTTCACAGGGAAGAAACCGAAGATGAAAGTTTAAGTTGCCACTTAAAATTTGTCTTCTTGAAATAGGTACAATATAGACCTAGGATAGTAAAGAAGAAATCAATTTTAGTTAAATCTGAAATCCAAATATTAAGCTTGACACAATATAAGAAACACTGTCACAAAGCTCACTTGCTGATCCCAGAAAATGGGTAAAATCAACTTTTGTAGGTCTCAGGGAGGGGGACACGACACCTCCCACAAGATCAGAATAAAAAAAATAAAAAGCCTTGGGGGTTTAGTTTGCTTGTTGGGTTTTTTCCTAGTTGATCAAACAAGGCTTTTTAAAACAGAGAAATCTGTGAAAAAGTAAATATTTTCTCCATAGAGGTAGAGTACTGAAAAGCAATCAAACCGAAGTTGCTGATTGTCAGTACAAGCATTTTTTAATCCTTTCTGTAACATTCCTATAACCAAAGTACGTCATATCAGCGAGAAAGAGTTAACAATTTGATGAAACAATCTTAAGCCTTGCTTAAACAGCTAGAGTACAACAAATCCTCCACAAAACAGGTGCTTCCATCATTTAATTATTCCTAGCCTGAAAATGCATTCTAGTTCGAATATGAACATTGAGTTAAATGTGGGGAAAGTATTACATAACACACAAGCACGCTGACTGCTTTAGCTCTCCAGTTAGGTAACTGTTTTCAGGAAAGCTAACACGTAACAGCACAAGAATAATAAAACCTTTTTGTTGACATTTCCACAGCTACTTATTGGAACCTCCCTTTAAACTGCTGCATTCTTACATGGTGCAGCAGATTATAACTGAAGAAAAAGTACTGGAAAATAAGATTACAATACTGTACCATTATTCCCTGATGTTAGGTTATATTTGAATGCAACCAACTCACTGGCAGAACAGTTACACAGAAATCTATTTAATGGGCACCTCTACCCTACATACAGTATTCTGCAACAGCAGAATACTATTTCTATCCCTGCTGCTATGAGTGGGGCACACATCATACTAGACAGAGTTTAAAACAGTAACATGGTATAAGATTAAGGTTTAAACTAACCCTTGAAATTTTAAGGTCAAATACATGCCACTGTTATGCAGTTTATTCGGCTCAATACCTTCTATTGATGTATTTTATGTCCACCTTCCTGTTGTGTACAAAGAGCCTGCTTGGCTTTTGCTGTGAGATATACGTAAAGATAGTTTCCAGATGAGCAGATCTTAAAAGTTCAGATCACCTTTACACAGAAGCAAGAGAATCCCTGGCGAATGACAGCATCTCTGCACTGCCCTCTCCTGTGCCACCAGCTTTCCTAGACAACTTCTCTCCTTGCTCACAGCAG